GGGCCTTTCCTTTTTTTTTGCTTTTCCTTTGCGGGGCACAGGCTCCCGATGCGCAGGCTCGGTGGCCATGGCTCACGGGCCCAGCTGCTCCGCAGCATGTGGGATCTTCCCAGACTGGGGCACGAACCAGTGTCCCCTGCATCGGCAGGGGGACTCTCAACCACTGCACCACCAGGGAAGCCCAAAAGACGTACCTTTTTAAACTTAGTGTGTCATCATTTTCTTAAATAAATTTTACAGTAAATATTACTCTTCAAAAGAAGAAGTATTAACTCTTTGGTCATCTAGAAAACCATGTTTAGGAACCTTCACTTAATGCTCTTTTCTAAAGAACAGAGTTTGGCATTAAGATAGACTAGTCTTGGACTCTTTCCCAGCAGGATGGGTTGTAAACGTCTCAAAAAACTGCTGAGAGACAATTCTCCATGGATTTCTCACGTTTCTCCAAGTCTTATGAGCAGAGGCACTTTGCTTATCCCTGGATCTTCACGGTTTTCTCTTATGTTTTTTTTTCCTAAAGATTTATAGTTTTACATTTAACATTTAATACATTTAAATCTCTTATCAACTTTGAATAATTTTTGCATTAAGTGTAAGGTTTGGGTTGAGGTTTATTTCCCTTTTTGCCTAGGGATATCCATTTCCTCCAGCACCATTTGTTGAAAACACTATCTGGCCTCCAATGAAATGCTTTTGCCCTTGGTCAAAAATAAGTTGGGTATATTTGCTGCTGGGTTCTCTATTCTGTTCTTTTGATCTTTGTCTCTATCGTTCTACCAATACCACTTATCTTTCTTACTGTAGCTAAATAATAAATCTCAATATCAAGTAGAGGTATTCCTCCCACCTTATTCTTCTTTGTCAAGATAGTTTTAGCTATTCTAGGGAATGTCTTTCCATTTACATTTTATAAAAGCTTGTCTAAATCTACAAAAAAGGATAGTCTATTGTATTTACCCATATTTCTGCTTTTTGTACTCTACGTTCTTCCTTCTGATGTTCCAAAGTTCCTTCTTCTATCATTTCCTTTCTGTTTGAAGAGCTTCCTTTAGCTAGTTGTTAAGATGAGGGCTGTTGGTAACAGATTCTTTTAGTTTTCCTTATCTGAAAATGTTTTTATTTTCCTTTTTTCCCTAAAGGGTAGTTTTTCTGTATAGAGAATTTTCAATTGACAGTTCTTCTAACACTTGAAGAATATTGTGCCACTTCTTTCTGGCCTCCATCGTTTCAGATGATTAATCCCGTTATTCAAATTGTTGTTCTTTCTTAGGTAATGTGGTGTTCTGGGTGCTTTCAAGATATTTTCCCTTGTCTTTTGTTTTCAAGAGTTTAATTGGGTTGTGTCTTGGAATGGATTTCTTTGGACTTACCCTTTCTGGGGTTAGCTCAGCTTCTTGAACCTGTAGATTCATATCTTCCACCAAATTTGAGAAGTTGTTAGATATTATTTCTTAAAATACTCTTTCAGCTCCACTTTCTTTCTCCCTTTCTTCTGGAATTCTGAGAAATGACCTTACCTGCAATGTCTTCTGTTTCTAGGTGAGGAGTCAGGAAACACTGGGTCTAAGTGTCTTCCTTCTGTTGGTGAAGGAACACAAGATACCCTCCTGCTGCATTGTTCCTCAAGTCCTAGGGTCCCAAACTAGTTTGCTTTCTTTTTTCCTACTTTTAAGAGTTCTCATTTGGTGTCTCATTATTTTCATAGTTTATAGTTGTGCTTAGCAGAGAGGAGTAGGGAAAAATGGGTCAAAGCCATTTTGTTCAAGCTGGAAGTTCCTTGTATATGTTTACCTTGTATATTTCTTTATACAAAAATTCATTTTGAGTTTTAGTTACCAGAATTTATTTTTAAAGCCTTATAGACATGATGAACAAGATAAGCTTATGTTATTTTGGTAAGTTTTGATAAATTTAGTTATTTTAATATGTGGACACAAGTCCTAGATGAACACTTGTGTATCAGAGTATATAATGATTACTCATTATACTCATCATACTCAGAGTATATAATGATCCAACAAAGTATATTCTTTATCATGTGTTAAAAAAAAAAACATGTGCTCAAGTTGATTTTTAGGCCCATTTTCTTCTCAAATAAGGTAAAGCTTTCATAGCTACAGTGATAGAATTTAAAACTGCTTTCTTAAGAGCTGAGTAATAACAATTTGACATCCTTTTTGATAACAAGGGAGTATGCAAGTGTCCATACACAAAATGGTTAATTGTGTTAAGTTACTACATTTTTCACATTTGTATTTTAAACATGGGTGTCAATGCTCTGAAAAATAAGTTACTAATAATTGAAATGATTAGTGAGGATTCAGGAGAAAATGTTTCCTGACAAAGCCATACTCTTACAATTCTGTGTACATGTGAGAAAGGCATTGTACAAAACACTTATTAGCAAACACATTTTTTAAAATGGAAACTAATATTTGTACACTAATATAAAAACAAACAGAGAGAGATCTAATTTCTAGTTTCTAGTTTCTCTTTCCTTCCCTTATGATACAGTTCATGCCCTGAAAATTTACAAGCTATTATAGTTTCTGAAAAGAAATAAATCTAAATGATATTGAAAACATGAATCACTTTTTCCTAATCTCTTCATTTTCATGATATGGCTGCATTTCATGTAAGGGAGAATCATCTTGTTTTAATTATACTGCAGTTAATTAAAGAAACTGGAATATTGGCACTGCTGGGAGACAGAGCATTCAGTTGTTTAAAAAATATTTTTTTAAGCACAAAACCTTCTCTACAAATAAACTCAGATTATAACTCAGAAAGAAGAAAGCAGCCATTTACCCTGCTGCGGACCTCCAGACACCTCCTTAGAACTTCTGGGACATCAGGGATTTTGGGAGCCCAATTTTCAGACGAGGAAAAATGAGACTCAAAACAAGGGACTTTATTGAAATCACATAGCTAACCGCAAGGCATCACTGGTTGAAACATAATGTCAATACACATGCTACCTCTGGGTCTTTTTTAGTGATTTCCTTTTGGTGGGATCTTTTTTTTAAACCTTACATCTATCTCCAATAAAAAAAGAACAGCCAAAAATTTATGGTAACTCCATGAATATTTAATATAGTTCTGCGTTACAAGATTTTATAAATAAATTATCTTCATTCATTTGTATATCCATTCATTATTTCATCCATTCACTAAATAAGTACGGTGCATTTATTCTATATCAGGTATTATTTTACGTAGTGAGGATAAACCAGTGAACAAATAAGTTTCTGTTTTCTCAAACAAATATGCAATATGTCACGTACTTGTAAGTGCTAAGAAGGAAAATAAAGGTGAGGGAGGTAGATAGGGGTGGGGGAATATGCTACTTTGGGGGGGGGGTAGTTACGCAGTGTATTCCCTCAAAAAGTGACATTTGAGAGATTTGAAAGAAATGAGAGAATGAGCCATGCAGGTATCTGAAGAAAGAATGTGCCAGGCAGAGGAAGCAGGTCCAAGTTCCCCAGGTGGAAGCGGGAGTGATGAATGCACAGAGCGCCTGGGAGGCCCCAAGGCTGGAGAGGAATTGAAGGTGGTGAGGTCAGATAATGACAGATGGATGTCTTGAGTTTGAGAGGGTTTTGTTTTTTTTTAAAACCTTTCTTTATAAATAGGCAAGAAAATATTGCCAAACTCCCAATTAGACTACTAATTTGAATAATTCAGAGCTTCTCTAGCTTACTGAGTCCTCTAGCTTCAGAACATCCTGATCTGAGTATAATTATATATCAGCTCTGCTGCTTGCTAGCCATGTTACCAGGACAGATAAGCCCGTTTCTTCATCTGTAGATTGAGGTTAAAAATACCTGTGCAGTTCTCCATACAAAACTGTTGGAAGGATCAGCTAACTTACTGTATTATAAAATTATTTTAAAAACAAGAAAAAGCTTTTGGGTTATTATTCTGTGGAAGAATGACATGGGGCTTTAAGTCAGGTTTGGAAGGATCCTAATGGCCACTGTGTGAGGAAGACTCCACATGGTAATTACCAGTAATTTCATTGTACATATCAACTTTTGTGAAAATGCAGAATTCATGGTATAACTTTTTCAGGTGACTGCTGGGGTCAGAGCCAGGGTGACCATGAAATCAAATGTTTTGGAAACATGCATTAGTATAGACAATTCAGCAAATATATAGGTAACCATCTGTTCTCATTATTCTTTCAGAGTATTATCATCTGAGTCCAAATATAGAGAGTCTATGTTGGGAGAGGCTAGGAAACAAGAGAACCAGCTTTTGGCTTACTTTTATATTTAAAACTGCTTTCTAACTTAAAAAAAAAAGGAAACATTTTATTCACAGAGGTGTTGGAGATACGACTTGCTTGAGGACTGCCTCAATGTAAAAGAAGTATCATTTGGTTATTCAATGAGAGGAAAAATTAGTATTTTAGTTGATAGACTTCTTCTGCACTAGAAATGGAGATGTGAATAAAAGTTATTTTACTTTATTTTGATTTATAGCAAAAAAAATTCCATGTCAAATGTACTTTAGTAAAATCTTTACTTTCAAATTAGAGAAATTTTCTAGACAATGTGAAGATTTAGCGATACTCATTCTAAAATGAAAATTAGCAATGCAGGATAATTTAAACTAAAAACATTGGCTAACATTGAGTATGGTGAACTATTATAATTTCACATGAAACAGTTAAGTATTTTAACATAACATACATTGAATGCCAATAAGCCAGTTCTATGGAAGTCTACTTGTTTGAATTTATTTTGCTAAAGAATGTTAAGAACCTTCCTGTGACTTCCTTCTAAGCAATTTTTAACATAGATGTTTGAAGTTGGGTGAAACGTAGAGCTTTTGAAGGTTTTGGGGGAGTAGGGGTGGGGGAGATGTTGTTGAATTTCCCCTTGACACACTAAAAGTTTCCGAAAGAGCATTTAATCAAAATAATCAAATTTGAATTTTTCCGGACAGCAATTCCGTGGCCTTTGCTGTGGGTTTCAAGTGTGTGTTCCGCCTTCCAGGTGGACGTAACTGACACGGAGGATGAAGAGAAGCGCTACTTGCTCTTTGTGGAGCTCCTGGAGGCCAGTCACCGAGAGGTCGAGTTCCAGCACCTGGTTTTGCTCCTGCAGGCTTGGCCGCCTGTGAAACGGGAATATACGTGAGTATTAACATAAAAGTAGACTCCTATTTGTCTAGACTCTAGGTTTAAAAAATCACTACCTTCAGAAGAGCCAATGAAAGAAATATATAAAATCAGTATAAACCTTTAGATGAAATTAGAATTGTTTTTCTTGAAATATCACAGTTTCTTTCCATTTCTCCTTACCCCTAAAGCCAAATATTTTATTCAGAAATAGACAATGCTTGATAATAACATCTGATTTAGGATGTCAGCAAAATAATTTTGTGCCAGTATTTTCACCAGGACCTGTTTTGACGCTCTTTTAACACGGCTTACAATGCTAACTTGAGAATCCATGGGGAATAAATTGATAATTCCCATTTATTGAGAACACAGTGTATGTGCAGTTGACATACACTGTCAAGTCACACAGCAAAGCTACATGGGAAGGTGATGTTACCGAATTTTACGGATGAGAACGTGGAAGCTCAGAAGTTCAACAGCTTCAGGCAGCACCTGGCCCTGAGACGGAGGAGACAGAGTTCCAACAGCTGCTGGAACCTCCACAGCCCGTGCTGATCCTCTGTGTCAGGCTGAGATTGCAGGCACCACTAGAGCTGCCCCGATGGGCACACAGTCCCTGTGCTGCCAGCCAAGGAGTCCTTTGGAAGAAGTGGCCAGATTTCCTCTGAGCACATATGCTGTCTGTCAAGAACTGCTGCTCCTCTGGCAAAAAACGAGAGCATCCGCGCTTCTGCTGCGAATGTCTCGGCGGCCGGGACTCACCTTGCTGTTCCCGCGTCAGCCAGCACTTTGTGCACCCAGACCAGTACGTGTCTCCACACCTCAGATGTACACAGAAGGATGTTTTCTCGAAATGATTCCGTGAGCAGTTCAGGAACGCTAAGGAACATCTGGGCAAGCCCCTTTACCTTCACCCTCAGACGAGACCGTTAGGAATTCCTGAAGCAAACCAAGGAGGGGGGCATTTTGGTTGGGTTTGTTTTTTTAACCAAGTGTTTTCGGAAAGGCAAGAAGCGTCTCTTAGATCGAGCATCCGTGGCAGCGCTGCCGTGCTGACATCTGCGCTTGAGCATAGGTTCTTACCTTCACTCTAAAACCGTGCAGTGCAAGTTCCCACATCGTGAAAGCTTTAGTGTCGCTTGTGACAGTGCCTTGAAACAGCATTTCCATCTGGTTCCAATTATCTTGGCAGAGCTGCCCCGGGACCTGAGGGTGCTTGTTAAAAACACAGTCCCATGCTTGGCTCGCCGAGTCCAACTCTCGGTACCGGGGCCTGGGCCTCAGTTTCTAAACGGCTCCTAGGAGATGATAATGGGAAATAGATGTGGGACCCACTAATTACATTGTCAGTAATGCTTCCCTTTTTTAGGAGATCGTGAGAGTTGAATTACAGATTTCTTCATACACTCAAAATGGGTCTCTGAGTCTGAAGAGAATTTTTCGAATTGCAAGTATGATGCTTCCGGCAGATTCGCTAACTGTGGCTCTGCAGTTCCTCTTACTTCTGGAACACTGACCACTGCAACTCACTCACTTACCCACGAGAAGCAAACTCGGCTTCCTTAAAACACTTCCTGCATTTAAAACATTTAATGCATTTGGAGACAAAAAGATACTCATTTTCAAACATATATTCTTGCTTTTGTAGTCCTGTGTGAAAGTTGTAAGTTGCTAGTAACCTGTGTTTTACAGACTTCCTTTACGAAATCATTAGCATCAGAACCAAGCATTACCAGAGTCCACTTAACCCTCTTACCAGCTGTGTCTCCTCTACCTAAGCGATAACCAGTTATACATACATATTTGACTGAATAATAAGTCAAATAAAGTCCATTTCTGCTTCTTTCCTGCTCAAACTGGTGTTTTAGCACAGGAGAACGTATGAGGGAACACTTAAAACAGGTCCTTAAAAGTACTTGGGAATACTTTTTTTCCCCCAGACGATCCAACGTATGACTCCAGCACTTCCAGAACAACCAGAAAAGGGGAGAGGAGCGTGGGGAGCGGGGAGGGAGGGGTAGTGTGGCGATGACTGAATGTTGCCGATCAACATGGTAAAGTCAAAAATTGGACTTTCAAGAACTTTGCTTGATCCACATGACTGCTAATTTACTGGTACCAACTTTGGAGTTTTGGTTTCAGTCCCTTGTCAGAACATGTATGGAAAGCATAATAGATTTGCATTAGGGAAGATCCGTAGTTTTCCTCCAGTGTATCACAGCTGGCTGGTGTAAAATACATTTTTTTTAACTTTTTATCTTATATTGGAGTATAGTTGATTAACAATGTTGTGATAGTTTTAGGCATATAGAAAAATGATCCAGTTAAACATATACATGTGTCCTTTTCCAAATTCTTTTCCCATTTAGGTTGTTACATAATACTGAGCAGAGTTCCCTGTGCTATACAGTAGGTCCTTGTTGGTTATCCATTTTAAATACAGCAGTGTAAATCTAAAAAGAAATGGTGCAGATGAACTTATATACAAAACAGAAACAGACTCACAGACTTGGAGAACAAACTTATGGTTACCAGAGGGGAAGGGTAGGGGGAAGGGATAGTTAGGGAGTTTGGGATTGACCTGTACACACTGGACAATATGTTTTGATAGTTGTTGTAAAAGCCACTGGGATGCACTGTGCAATTCTGCTTCAGGGAGGTGGCCTGTTAGGGAAAACCCCAGGAGAACTGAATCCAGACTTTAAAGAGGAAAGCAGAGGGCGAGTCCTCTAGTGTACGAAGACTCATCCGTCAACCAGATGCTCCCTGAGCTTTGTTTGTACCTTGAAATAAGCAGCATTCGTTGTCCCCACAAGTTGTTAGTTTGAGCTGAGACACAAAGGCTTTGCCAAAGGCTAGTATTCTGAGTCCCCTTGTTGTTGCGCTTGATGTTTTTCTCAGGCACAAGGAGTGAAATTCTTTCCAGGGAGGGACCATCCTTTGGTGTTCCGTGGCTAGAAGCTAGTGCTGTGCTAATGAGACAACAGACTCTTAATAAAGAGTAAAATTATTTTTAAATGTTGTAAGTAAAATCAGTACCCCAGAATGAATGTACCTTTCACTTGTCTCTTGAAATATAAATCGTGATGTTTTTATGAAGTCAAGGTAGCGGCTGCCAGAGAAGGGAAACAAAAGGCAAACTTTTGTGCTTTTATGTCTCAGAAATAAGAGAAGTACCTAGTAAGATGTGCCTGCTCTTGAGAGCGATACTTCACAATGGCAAACGTCATTCATTAAGCAATGCAAGCCTGCAAGGAAAACATTAAATTGCCTTTTCGCCGTGAGAAGAACCAAGGCCCAAAAAAGGGTGGCGTCCCCAGAGGACGTGGTGGGGAGGTGGCGTCCCCAGAACAGGCTGGGTGGCGTCCCCAGAACAATACAACTAGGCTGAGAGTGTAGAAGTCACTTCTGTGACTCGCGCAAGCAGTCAGGGAGCCGGAATGTCAGCCTGAGCTGCTGGGCTTCAAAGCAGTCTGTACTGGTTGGCGTCCACCCACTGGCCCCATGCTGCTGGGGCACTTGTCCATACCACAGCAAGCTCTTTCCCCTCTGTGGGCTGGTGTCTTTTCTCCAAGATAGGCGTGAAGGAACACATCATGCAGGTTATGACTGCAATTTGCCAAAAGCATTTTACTTGAAAAAGTGGGATTTCTTTTCTGTTTTAAAATTTCTTATCACAATTGTTATAAGTTTCGTCGTTTCCCATGCCTTGCATTTTTCTCCCTTCAAACCAGCATAACCAATAATCCATGGGTGAGACTGGCTACAGTGATGCTAACCAGATGTACGGTGGAGAACAAGGAAGGGCTGGGGAATGAAGTTTTGAAAATCTGCCGCTCTTTATATAACACCGAACAGATGCTCCCTGCAGAGGTGAGTGGCTATTTCAAGTGGCTTTCCTGGGGGATATCCCTTTCCTTTTCCCAGCTCTTTGGTGTAAACAATACCAGTGACTGTACTTGGGGAACATTTAGCTTAAGTTATCAGTAGGGAAAGTAAAGCCCATAATTTGTGACCGATCAAATGAAGAAAAGCAGGGCTAAAAGGATTCTTTGAGGTCATTTTCTCCTTGTTGGAGCTCTGAAGCAGTTTTCCTTTTACAAGTCCCAGAGTAGAACCCAGTTTTCTGGGTTTTTTGGGTGCCCTTTTATGTCTAGCTCAAGTTTCTGTTCTAAGAGGTCACGGTAGCTCAAGTGTCCTGTCTGGCTGACCCAGGCCAGTTGGTAACATAGCAGCTACCTTAGCACTCCTCGGCAGGTAACCAGACACTCTGATTCTCACATACTTTTTTGACATCATTGTAATAAGATTGCATAACCACAATATTTATTCTCTGTGAACATGGTAAAAACTCAGCCACCTCCATGTTGACCTTGTTCTCTATTTGATCCTATAATATGTGTCCCAGAGATATTTGTGTAATATATATGTAAATTTGTACATTCTAAAATAAGCACGTATTAACTACAGCCCCCTGCTGTGGATCTGACCTCAGCAATGTATCGTTTGAGCAATTTACATGTCTTAAATTTAAGCCTTTGGATAATGGCACTAAACTGATCAATTGGTTTTTGAGTTTCTACCACATAGCAGATAAACTTGAAAACAAAATTGTAAATAGGACTCTTTGAATCTTCATTGTTCACTCAAGGAAAATATTCTCTTTATGAATGCAATTGAATGAATTGTTTTCTGAATGAAGGACTGGCTAAGTGTTTTTTGATTGAATTTAAAATACTGTGTCCATTTAAAGACGTCTTCAACCACCAGGATGACAGAATTATTCTATAAAATATTTAAAGTACCAGCACCAAAGATAACTTCCCCTTGCTCCAGTAGCCTGTGATTTGCTTGTGTCAGATGCTTATCTACCTGTGATCGGCTCTGCTATATTGTGAGCACCTGGAGGGTAGGAACCATGGCTGTAGCATCTCTGTTTCACCCAAGGCAGGATTCAGCATACTGCAGAGAGTGGGGACTCAACACACTGTCTTACCCCCACCAGGGTAAGTAAATAACATGGGTTTCATCTCTGCCTTAACATAAGCTAAGATCAAGCATTGTTAGATTAGGACCAAACACCAGAAGTGTCCTACCGTCAGTTCTATTGAATCTAGGTTAGGAAGACATTATTTAGGATCTCTGGACCTCCACCTTCTCATCTCTGAAACAAGGGGTTAGACCACATGACCTCAGCGGGGACTCTTGTTCCGACTGTTCTGTGAGGTCCCCAGTCCTGGGAGGAGCGTGACCTGAGGCTGTGTCTTCACTTCTTCATCCGTAGCACTTAGTTCACCGTCTCTCATGAGTCCATCATTCTCTTGGGGTGAGGAGTAAGGTACTGGATTGAGCCCCATTTTGAAGTGGGTCGTTATCGCTTCTCTGTTCCAATTTGATGATTTGAAAGATCATCATCAAGAGCTCTGTTGCCACAGTGACTTTTCTTCATTTTTGTTTTGCTACCTTCTGTGTTTTAATTGGGTACATATGTAGATTCTTTTTCTTAGGATGCCATGATTGAAGGAACTTTGCAAATGTCGTGTACTATTTTTATTAATCACTGAATTTGCGCAAATGTGAATCAGAATGGTTTCAAAGGAAGGAACAGTATTATCATAAAATGGAAATGTCTTGTTAAGTTTATTTTACCGCATTTGGAATCTACATAGTCTCATTTCAGACTTCCATGAGATTTAGTATCCCTGTGGCAGTAAAATTATCCATGACTCACTTCTTTTTCCACCAGTACCTTTGGTTGCCCTACTGCCCGGTGTGTGAGATGCGTTTGCCTGATTAGCTCTGACGGGACTTAAAGGGGCTTACTTTATCCTTCATCCCCATTTCCCATCCTCCTACCAAGTTGCCATATGTAGAGATTCGTTTTCTTTGTGGCTCTTTTCACGATCTCCTGCTGTTGCTCATGGTACTTGTTTACTTATGGCCATGATGGTTTTGCTGATGGAAAATATTAGAGAAAGATAAAATCACTGTTTCTCACAGGTCATGTGTCCCACGGTCTTGACAGTTAACACATCCTCCTCTCAGCTTCTGTCTGTGGCAACGCGTGCAGCATCCTCAGGAGTGGGGTATCTGGAGAACAAGAAATCGGCGACTTGGCATAAAACAAGTTCCTGGCATTTAGATGTAAAAATCCCAAGTTCCATCTACTTGTGGCTGCCCCCGAGGGTCCCTGCAGAGGCACAGCAGGAACTAGCAGGGCAGACACTGCGGCGGGTGTGTGGGAGCCCGCCCCCCAGCTCACGAGGGAGCCCAGCTGACCCCGGCTTCTCAGGCTTAGTGTGACTGTTCTCTCTCACGGCTGAGGCACTCCTGAGGACATCAAGAGCTCGATTTTTCGAATCGACGACACCCACCCCTGCACACCTTGTGCTCCACACTCTTGCTGCGGGCCCTGCCACACCTTTAGGTGCCGGATACCCCAGGACCAGTGGGAGGGTCGCGTGAGGACAGAAGGACCGCTGGTGGACCGGTCCCACTGCTCTGACGACCGTCAGCCATAGGGCCCAGGGCATCACCATAAGCCCCAGTCCACAGGGAGGACCAGCGCCCAGGGTTCTGGCCTGGCTCTGGGCCCCAGCCCACCTGCTTCTCTGCATTCAAGGCCTCTCATTGTTGTTCTGTGTCCTGATGCAGACAGGTTTGAGCTGCGAACGTACCATATAAGGTGTTTTGTGGTTCCCTTTGCTACTTGGACCTTTCCTGCAGCTACCCAAATCCCTTTATAAACATCCTAATAAACTGTCCTCTTGTAACACAGGGGGAAATACCTGGTGAATATAGTATAGTCCTTAATTACAAGTACGTATTTAGCCAGTAACTGTTAGCTAAGAGATAAAAAGCACTCAGGAGCTCTCATAAAATGAATTCTTCCGTCCCTGGGTGTCCTTGTCTGGCTGTGGGATATCGAGCCGTTATGCCTGCTCAAAGGGGTGTATAGGTTATTTCCATAAATTTTTCATCAAAGCTGAGATCAGCCAAGTGATGTGCTTCTTCCAAATATCATAAATTACTGAGAAATACCTATTTACCAATTACTGATAACTTATTGAATAAGCATATATGAGAGTTAAGAGAGAGAATACAAATAATTCGGGGTACAGTATGTACTAAGCAAGTTTGGAATACAGAGAAGGAAAAAGCTCCTTGCCCTCAAGTGAGGCAGATAGACAAATGAATGATTACAATAATACAAGATGACAGATAACGTAGGAAATATTCAACGAGGTATAGCCAGAATACAGGAGCGCCAAACCTGGGACATCAGAGGTACCATCGCAGGGAATGGAATTTTCTTGTGCCTTTGTAAGCTGAGACCTAACGATGAGTAGGGGTTAATCAAAGAGAGAGAGACAGCAGAGGTTACATCGTGTGCGAAGACCCAGAGGTCCGTGAGAGCCTCACACTCTCTGCTGCACCCTCCACTGTGGTAGCCATGGGCCACACGTGGGTATGAAAATCGAGCTTAAGTGAAATTGAATAAAATTTAAAATGCAGTTTCTCAGTTGCACTAGCCACATCTCAAATGCTCACAGGCCCCACATGGCCCACGGCTGCCCTGCTGGACAGTGCAGCTCAGAGCATCCCGTGGTGAGAGGGAGGTCTCCCGTGCAGGTGCTGCTCTCAGAGGACTGTGCAGGGTGGGAGGGCGAGGCCGTAAGGCTACAGGGAGGAGGGCGGAGGAAGCAGGTTGGTGCGTGGCAGCTGGGCTGGACTGTCATGCACGGGGGTTTATATTTCGTCTTCCCAAGTGTTTTCTGCAGGTATTGGCATCCCAGATTAAAAATCCGCATTTCTCTTTGGCCCAGATGCTGGGCGAGAGGCCTCTGTATGCGGTACGTGCCTTAAGGCATGCAGAGCACTTTCCTGAATGAGAATCCGTGTTTGAAGTACACATTTTACAGAACTGTTACCCAGCCGATATTGATCATTCTCACACGGGTTTGGGGGGCACAGCCTGATTTCCAGCGGTGGCCTGCTGGGTGCAAGCCAATAGAAGACAGTGAGTGGAATTCCAAAGAGACCTTTATCCCAAGCGTTAAGCAGGGCTTCTTTATGTCAGCCTTCTTTTATCTACTCTTTATAGTAACGTAAAGGAATTATGAAAATGTCATGCATTTGAGTTTTCCTCCTCCGATGTGCTCCTGTTGGAGTAGCACAAGAGGAAGGTCGTCCCACACAGGGCGGTGACCCCCAGTTCTTTCAAAAACAGCCCTCGCTTTATATAATGAGGTTGCGCTCTTGTCCGGTCTCTGGTCCGAGTGTTCTGTTCTTCACATTACAGCTAAAGTCAGGACACCGAGGGAACATGTAACTCAGCAGGGAAGAATAGCTTGAAAATTTATTTTCTATGCTTTTATACTTTTGTTGTGAAAGATTATCGTTCGTTATCTTATAGAAAAGCCTGCTCTCTGATGGCAGGTTCAGCCAGCATAAAAAAAGGGCCGCGAATAAAATGCAAATATGTCTGTGACAATCTAAATCCATTTTCATGTTTCTGGACCACAGGTACTTTTTCTGAAGATGGAGCATCTTAAGTATATCAAGCATCCAGTTTACATTGACATTAACTATAAACAGGTTTTAAAATATGCAAATTGCTGATTTCCTTTGTTACAGTGGGTGATAACTAGATATTTTTGATAATTTTAACAATTGACAATAGTTTTTATTGTTAAGCGTCTAGTATATGCTGAGCATTGTACATTATTATTCACTAATACTTATTCACACACACACACACACACACACACACACACCACTGCAGAGTAGATACAGTTTACCTCTGTTTCACTTGGGAGGAAACTAGAGCTCTGAGAGTTTAGGAAAATAAATTCCAGTCCTATATCCATCCATCGGGATCCTGTGCAGCCATTAACATAGCAACGTTGTAGATGAATATCTGATACTTGGAGAGATTTTATGAATAGATGGTGAAGTGAGTGAAACAGGTATCAAACACTAAATCAGCGTGGTCCCACGTGTGCATTTTGTACAGACACAGACACACACACACACACACTCATAGGAAAAGGTGTGGAAAGACACAAGCAGAATCATGCCAGCGCTTTGACGCGCTCCCTTTCCTTCTCACTCACAAAGTTGCCCTTGTGCTTCCAGGGTGTGAAGGAGCTATGCTCGCTGCTGCAGCACCAGGCCCTGCTGCTCCCGTCTCTGAAGCTTCTCCTCGAGAGCCGAGATGAGCGTCTGCACGCCATGGCCCTGGACCACATCACTGCCATTGCTAAGGTGCTCCCTGCGGAATTTCTTTCTTATGTTTCAGAGAAATGAATTAGTAATGCCATTCTCATCAAGAACAACCGTGATTTACTCAGGACTATTTTATCTCCACTCTGACCACATTAGCTGTTTCTGTTTGTCTAAGCAGTAGATATTTGTCTCTTTCACAAACATTCACTAAACTCCTCCCATGAACCACACTCTGGGTTTAGGTGCCAAGAATACAAACCCAGATCATGAAGCATTTTCTCTAGAGAAGCCGTGTATTCGTCTCAAGAAAATGTCAGAGCAGCCTGGGACTAGCGGACTAGTCCTTGCCACTTGAAGTCTTAGTCGAGGAGCTCCTAGCATCAAGCAGGTTTTCTTGCCTGCATGTGTTTGGTTATCTACTAATAAAAGGTGAGAAAGAGTCATGTTTCCTGGCACCATCGGGAATCTCGAGCTCGTGTTTCCTCTGGCGGCTGACAGCACCACTGAAGCCCCTCCTCGTTGGAGGAATGGGGGCTAGTGTCAAGGCTGGAGTGTCCTCCCTCAAGGCTCTTGCCTTGTTCTCATGATTAAGGAAGAAGCTTTCACTTCCCTTTTTAAATTTTACACTTTAGGGTTAGATAGCTCAGGGTTGTGTTTAATGAATTTGCATTGTATTGTCCTTACTGAAGCCCTTCTGCAGGGCGATCATTCTTTCACTTGAAGCGTGTATGTGTGTGCTTTAACAAAAACATAAGAGGATGTCTTTTAGGGACCAGAGAGGGCAGCAGGATCCTAGAGCAGTGGTGCAGTGAAGAGATTGATGAACAGATGTCATGGATGTACAATGTTGTCAATGACAAAGGATGCAGAAAGCAGAACATAATTGCATTTGGAAACAGTAATAATGAACAAAATGAGAAAAACCTAGTGCCTTTATTCATTTAGATATATTTTCAAAATAATGTAAAGTTTCTCTAAAGATTTTGTGTTGATAAAAATGCCCTTCGTGGGGCTTCCCTGGTGGCGCAGTGGTTGAAAGTCCGCCTGCCGATGCAGGGGACACGGGTTCATGCCCCGGTCCGGGAAGATCCCACATGCTGCGGAGCGGCTGGGCCCGTGAGCCATGGCTGCTGAGCCTGCGCATCCGGAGCCTGTGCTCCGCAATGGGAGAGGCCACAATGGTGAGAGGCCCGCGTACAGGAAAAAAAAAAAAAAAATGCTTCGTTATCACTGATAGTTGAGCATGACAAGGGCCTTTCTAGAAACTAGACTGAAGTAGGGAATTGAGGGGACTTGTCCAGTGGTAACCTCCCTGTCTCTCTGTGCTGAAATAAAAGTTGCATAATGTTGGGAATTTACAAGAAACTAAGAACTGCAATGAGATTTTTTTTTCTTAGCTGATTTTTAATTGGAAATCCAAGACATCGGGAAGAAGGGAAAACTGGAGAAAATCATGCTGCATACTTTCAGTGTCTTTTTTCCCTCACTGCCGTTTAACGTATTCATATCTCTGCTCAGGTCTTCCCACTAAAACTTGCCATGGGCCTCTTTGAGCATAAAACAGTGATGTATTTAAACATTGCCGTTCCCCGTTCGTCCTGTGTAGGGCATTCCTGACACACTCCTGAATTCCATAGGCGAGCGTGTCAGTTTTCATTTTAAAGATTCTTTATCTCAAATGCATCAGAACTGCAACTAGAAGGGGGGCTCCCTAACTGTGAACCAGCCCTGCTGCCTGCCACACACCCCTGCATACACGCATGTGCACACGCACACGTGCACACACCATCAAAATAAGAAATCAAATGGGAACGTTGATCACCCGAGTCATTTTTCAGTGGCACTGGTTTCCGTCCATGTAACGCTTTGATCTGCACGTTTTTCAGTGGCACTGGTTTCCGTCCATGTAACGTTTGACGTGCAGCACTGTGCTAAAAGTCTGTGGGCGGCCCGCCTAGGGTTGTGGTGCGAACACCCAAACCCTCTGTGGCCTTCAGGGGCGAAAAGCAAAGCCAGAGGTGTAAATTGCTGAGGCGAGTCACTTACCTACCACGGAGACCCTTACTTTTAGGAATTCAGTAATGACGCTGACTTGTAACTTCTCTGCACTAAGTGGAGGACTCACATTAGGCTGGCCCATCTGTGACCTTCAGGTGTGTCCATGGAAGCTTTTGCATCCTCCAGAGAAATAAAGTGTTGCAGATTTTTCCAGTTTTTAAACATTTTTTAACTTTTTATTTTGAGATAGTTTTAAGTTCACATTCAGTTGTAGAAAATAACAGCAAGATTTTTTGTACCCTTCACCCAGTTTCCCCAAGTGGTAACATCTTGCATGGCTATAGTATAATTATCACCAAGACGTTGACAGTGATACAATCTCTGGACCTGATTTGGATTTCACAGTTTTACGTGCCCTCGTGTGTGTGTGTGTGTGTGTGTGTGTGTGTGTGTGTGTGTGTGTGTGTG